TTAAAACAGATATATAGAATAAGCAAAAGATGAGTTAAAACAGATGTTTTATGCTGGAGAAGTGATTCTGATGCCAAAATCTGCTTTATTTTAAAGTTCTATTCACATCTAGTTAACTATATAATTCATTTCTTTTGGGTCAGATAGGAGGATAAAGAGGTATCAAATTGACAGGATTAGAGTTTTCAAAAAAAAAAAAAAAAATTTCTCTGCAGCNTTTATAAATTTACTAAACTTACTTTTAATTGATTTGACGTTAGAGTTTTAAAAAAAAAAAAAAAAAAATTCTCTGCAGCCTATCCAGAAACCCTATCTTCTATAGATATTCTGTTTGGTGAGCTGGTGAAAAGAAATTTAGAAATGATAGGATGATTTATGTTTTTTGGACTCTAGGGTAAATATCAACGCACCAGTCGAGTCTTGTTTTTGGACTCTAGGGTAAATATCAATTTCATTTTGGATTTATCTTTTTCGATGTTTAAAAACTATGGTATCGTACGATAAATTCTTTTTCTAACTTGAGTTTTATTTACTTTACAAGAACTTGAAAAGGTCGAGTTAAAAATATAAAGATAAAAATTTACAGTATTTCCAAGGTGAAAATTGTCCAAGATCTCGACGTAAATCACTAAATGTGAACTCATATATTCAAGTAGAAATGTTATTTTAAAAAAATAATCATGTAACATGGGATTTAATATAAATCCTTTGGTACCAAATTCATTATCTTGGTCATGCCCAAATTAAACAAATGATAAAACTACAATGCCAGTGAGATCATTGTTGATATATTGCTTACCTCAATTTGTTGACATTTTTGGACAACCAAGAAGATAACAATAGAATACATTGAGGTTGTCTTGTCTTCAAAAGATGGAAATCATTAATTCCTAGTCTTTTGGCTATTGAAATATCAATCATGATCTGCGTGTTTTGTTATGTATGAGGTCCTCTTGTCTGACTTTTGTGGCAAATTGTCGTACACATATATAAATGGGGAAGGGTCTTACTATATTGAAAAACTATATGAGGTTATTTCACTCCTAAAATCACGCTTGGTTCGCAAGAATAGGTTGGGAGTTAAAAAGCGAGTGGACAGATAGGTTTTTTTCAACGAATACCCTAATTGAGAATCAGTTGTTCATATTGCTCTTGCGTTAGAGCCATACATACACACACACATTTGAAATGATATACAAAATTTCATCCATCAGACAGTCGGTAAACTCTCTATCGAGTTAGGTTTTGCCACTCAATTTTCAGATGGTAAATTTCCGAACTTCAATGAGTCATGACTTCGATTTTTATTTTATCCAGCAATTTTTGACAAAATAAATTTGTTGGTAATTAAGTAGCTAGTAAGAAAGTCAATACATTTACCTATAAATTTATGAATAATGCTAAGTGTATATTCCATGGATTACATCTTGTTGTCATTGTGTGAGAGTTTAAAAAGTGTTGGACGGAAAAGTGAAATATCGTCACGTTGTACAATGTAAAAAATGATATAAAAAAAGATGTAAATGTAGCATGATCATACATTTATTTGTTAACATATCATCTCCAGCACGATCCACCTTCTCCCGTGAAGGTCGGATGTACTCTTAAACCAAAGTTACAACACTTAGAATTCAGATAATTAGTGATTGTGGGACTCAAACTCAAGATTTTCATATAGTCTAATAATATTACATCAAACTATAAAATTTCAGTGATATGTTGTCTTCAAGACATAACTTTCGAACCTTTTTAACTTGAAAAGAATCGAAGTGTTCAAAACTTACTAATTCTTTCCATTAAAAGAGATGTATATACATATAATTTATAATCTAGTTCATACAATAATTAGTTCTTTCCAGTAATTAATCTATACTAATTCTTTTAGCCAAGGAACTGTTTAAAAAAATTCAGAAAGACATAAAGCAATGACTTGACATTGAGCCACTCGTTAAAAGCAAAGCTGCATGCAGTGGTATTGAGTGAAATTACACAAATATCCCAAACCTGCCAGTGTTGAATATATATGTTAATTTGCATGTGGGGGGCCCATGCATCACCCATGTTTGAGACAAGACCTTATTAATTTGGCCTTTTCCTTTCACAATTTGAGACTCAGAGCAGTGATCAGTAATGGAGAGAATAAGATTCTTTGCTTTCTGTGTTCGTATGGTAGAGACGTGAGAGGGTGTAAACAGGGTTTCGTATCGTTCGAATATGAGGTACATGACGGGCTCATAAAGGGATCGAAATGTTAACCTTTTGGGATGAAATCACAATTTACGTGACTTTAAGGGGTGGGTTAAGGAAGATAATTGAAAGTTCGAATTTTGATGCATGTTCAAATTTGTTAAAGAAAATGGCCAATCCAACAGTTACATATATTTTTTTCTGAGCCAACAATTATTTTAAAAAATTATAAGTTCAATGATCAGCCAATCTTGTTATTATAATCAATTTATATAATCTGAAGTTCTGAATCATGATTATTAAATACATATTCTTTGCTTTTGAAGGATTTATACCAATTTGGCCTACATTAATATTTTCATTTTCATTCTTCTACTCATTTTCTACCACATTTTCTTCAATAAAATAATATTTTTCATCATATCAATAATTTATCATTCTTTTTCAACTACATAATCCACATCCATCACATCAACAAAATGTATTCTTCTACCCAAAATGTGCACCAAACAGGAGTAAGTTTATACCATATTTATCCTTGTTCGATTTAGATAAAAATCAAATTTTTATTAGATTTTGATAAAAGTTAATGGAATGTGTAGTTTAAAAGTTGTGGGCCTGTTAAATTTGTCATAAAATTAATTGTTGACTTTAACTTATATTTTAATCTTAAGCTGATCAATTTGATACAGTTTTTATAATTCCTAGCTAGAAAATTTACATATATGTGCTCGAAGAAACTAGAAAAGAATTAAAGGCCATGTTTGATTGCAACGAATTCAATGAAAAATGTCACATTCAAGAAAAACGAATTCCACTTTAGCCGTTTGATTGCAACGTGGAATGGAAACCGAATTCCAATGTACAACTACTTTAAACTGTATTTTCTTTGTTTTAATGGAAAACGAATTCTTATAGGTGTGTTGAGTTTTTATTTTCCAACTAACGTGGAATCAAACGGACCATAAAAGAAATACTGAATGTTGGTCAAAGAAGAATAAATTTTCAGCTTTAACCTTTTACAAAGAGAGGCTGCATATAGAGCTTTATATAATAATGCTCATACCTTGAATCGCAAGATAGGGCATGACAGGGACATTCTTTAATATATAAAAACTGAAAAAGCAAAGCAAAGCAAAGAAAAGAAGAATTCCTATACTAGTTTTTCAGACATGGGATTTTACCCAAGTCAAAGGTGGTTTTTTCGGTAACGATAAAGGCACAATCTCCTCCAACCCCCAACCTACCCCACCCACCCTCCTTTTCTTTCAATGTGGAGCATTGGCATCTTTTTTCTTGCTTTAATTAATTTTCAAGATTCTTCATTAATGTCAATTTCACTGGCCCCATTGCTACATAATCCAGGGGGGAAATTTAGTTAAGTAACTAAAAGGATAACAAATCTCAATTTTGTGGTATGAAAAGGAAATTTGCTTTATCTTCGTTTTAGGAATTTCTTGTAATTTACGATTGTATTCAAGACCTTATGCATTCATTTCACATGTTAGGTGAATAGACGAACTAATATAGTTAGCGTCTTATCCACCAGCCCCCTAGCTATTCAATGCCTATACATGGTTCACAATTGGTAACTAGTAGTTTATTTGAGAAACTCACAAAAAATGATCTACTAATGAATGTTACATATTTAGTCATGAGGAAGAACTTGAAATATCATGATTTCTTTGGCTAGTTAATCTTTCAATATTTGAGTTTTGACAACTCTTGTTCATTAGGTATGTGGTTCATTGCTTTAGATATTAACACGTGGCTTCAGTGGCGGAGCCATGATTCAATGGTATGGGAAGCTATTGGATTGGACAATGAACTACTAGGTTGGACAGTAGAAAAAAAAATGGACTATAACCAATTTTTTTTTTTAAACAAAATTTGGCTTGGGCTGGGGTGGGCAAGGGTGGGCTACAGCCCACCCCTATCTCCGCCCATGCGTGGCTTCAACCTAAATGATTATCATTTTTAAAGATAACTCTTTGCATCATAAAAGTAATACAAGCTCGCTCAACAGAAATTTTAATTGCTCAAACTCATTTTGATACTAATAAACAAAAAAGAAAGAAGGAATGAACTTTTAAGTAATCACATTCGATCAAATATAATTGACAATAGTTCTTCTTAAAATTAGAACTATGAGATATTAAGAAGCTTTGCAAACTTGAATAAATATCAAAATTGACTCATTAATTTTTCTTTGTAAAAATAAGAACACTAATTATTTAGTCCTTGTTTGATGGTCATTTTTTTTTTTTTTTTTGGAAAAACACTGTTTTAAATAATAATTTTTTGGAAAATGTGCTGTTAAAAATAGGAAAAGATTTTGAGTTTACCTATAGAATATTTTATTGCATGAATATGTAATTAAAATGGATATACAGAGAAGAAAGTCATGAAAAAATGGGAGGCCAAACCCACTAAAAATTTAGTGACGTCATAATAGTATTAATGACCATTTTATTAGTAATTAAAAAGTAATCTTTCATTTTATAATACTAATCCACAATAAAAGGTGTGGTATAAAAGTCAAAATTTCTCTACACCAAATTCTCTCTTTTTGGACAAATTATATGATACATCCATGTTAATATTCAATTTTAGTTGTCTCAGAGAATTTCAAATCCTCCTTTTCATCTACCTTGCTGAAGTTTCTTCTTCTTTCTTCTTTCTTCTTTCTTCTTTCTCCTTTCTCTCTCGCGGGATTGTTGTCTGTCCTATCATAGCCATTGGTGGCTTGTATCTGGTTCATGGATATTGATCTCCTGTGGTTTCAAGGGGGGTGGTTTCTATTTCAGATTTGCATGGCAAAAACTTCATCATTTTCTTCAGAAATCTCCACAACATTTACACACCCTTTTCTTCTTTTTCTTGGGCTTGTTTTTATCTTTCTTGTTCTTGTCAATTCCTCTGATCCTTCAAAACACTCCATGGATTCATCACTTCCCTCCAGAAGACTTCTCTTGAACTCAGATTCCGCGGCAAAATCTACCAATTTTCACCCAAGAAAGAGGGAAAAGCACTCACATGGATCTTCTTATTCCAAGAGAGAATTTGAGGCTGGTGATCATGAAGTTCCAAGCGGACCAAACCCTATTTCCAACAAGTAGTGAATCTGCTTATTTCAAAGCATGAATTTTCACAGGGAAGAAGAAGAAAGGTTTGCTAGAGCTGCAGTAATGGCGTTTATTTGTCTATGTTGTTCTCTCTATCTCTCTCTCTCTCTCTCTCGTCATTAATTATATGAGTCGCCATTAATACACTACTTGTCCTCAGTGAGAAGTTTGTTATGCTATGTTGTCGTCTTCTTCGGTGTATATCCAGAGACATATCTTTACTTATACATATATATATATATATATTAGTATGTAAACAGTGGTTTATAGAGAGAAAGTGAGAGGGATTAATTATTGGTTTGTTAATTATGTGACTGATTTTGCTCATATTCTTAATGTACTGTGTAATTTGTTTAAATTCATCTTATGCTTAAACCTTTTGCTTCTCTGTGCAAATTTTCAAGAAAATAGAAAGATCCATTGTCAATAGTTTTGCATTTCTGCACTAGGGTTTCAAAGAATCTGAGGCACCCCACCCCTGTGTGGAGGGTGGGGAGAAATGGTGTCAAAGTGGTGGGAGGACCTTTTTTTTTGGCTGAACAATAATTTGAATGGCTTTGGACTTTACTTTTGTCTTCTCAGACACAGAATCCAACAAAGCTGATTCAAAGCCTATGATTTCATAATAACAACATTTTGATTGATACGATCAAAATTACTAATGTTTTGCAATTTATACATCGGGATGATACCTCGATATACACCCCTCACAAAAGAGAGGGGCTCACATCCAATAAAAAATTCATGGACCGTCTTATTGCGAGGGGATTGTATATTGGGGTGTCACAAATTACAAAACCCAAATTACTTTGCACGAGTAGATTTCATGAAGAAATTTGGGTTTTGCTAAGCGTACATCGAGATTGACACTCTAGTATACAGACTCCCTTACAAAAGGGGGCCCACGTTTTTTTTATTGGTCGTGGATCCCCCGCTTGTGAGAGAGTTTGTACACCAGAGTGTCAACCTCGATGTACAAATAGCAAAACACAAGAAATTATCCGGACGGTATCTATCTTAACCCCTTACAATATTAGCCGTAGTTTGAGCTCAATTTTAATATAATTTTGGGAGAAAAAATATTTTGTAATGATGATTTTTTGGAGAATATGTGTTTAAAAGATAAGGAAAATTTTTAGATTTTTGTCTGATTGTGTGATTGAAAATAAGTTTTGAAATTTTTTTTTAAAAATAATGTACCCAAACAGTCGCTACCAAAGTTTTATGATTTTATAAAATGAGCAATAATACTAAGGTGAGTATAAAAGATTGTTGTGGTGGAATTCTTAGCTAAGAGACATAAATGTGTTACTTTTTGCTTTAGAATTAATGGTTAAAGTTCTAAATAATTGTCTTTGATATTTTCATTTTTCCACTTAATTTTTCCTGCTTATTTACAATTGTGAGCAAAATATATAAATCTCCTTTAAGCATAACGATGTTCTCACATTTTTCTTTTTTTCTTTTTCACTCCTTAAATTATTATTAAATGTTATAAACTATAATTTCATTTTCTTAAGGTTTTTTTAAAATTTTAATTTTGAAACCGCGACTTTTAATAACTTACTGGTCTACAATTAATTAAAAAATCAACACAAATTTATTTTTAAAAAATAATTTAATGAAGATAATTTTCTTTTATATCACTATAGTTTCAATAATTAAAAAAAAAAGTATTTTCTATAGTTTTAAATACTTATTTAATTTTCTACTTATAGTATAGCTTGATTGATAAGTAATTTTTTTTTTCAATTTCTATAATTTTATGATCATATAACAATATTTTTATTGACTAAAAACAACACTCCCATCTCTTAGAAAATATGAAAAATAAATCTTAAGAAATAAGAAAAAAATGAAAAATCATTCAAAAATTAGAATTAGTAAAGTTATTATTATTTAACTTTTAGTTTGGAGGGTGTGAAATAGTCTCGGAATGTATTCAAAACTTACTTTGATTTTGTCATTTGAGAATTCGAGCCATTCAAATGTAAATATTTGCCAACGAATATTAAATTTCCAAAATCAAGTGACGCGTGACAATTTAAGAAGATTTGTATGGTTTCCAATTTTTTACCTGCAAAACTATCAACTTTTAGCAGCACCCTGAAGTTTTGAAAGGAGAAAGTTCCAAGTGCAGAAAATTTTTCGCTGATTTTTTATCAACGATAACGTGACAAAATGTGATTTGTCTGGGTTTCAAGTAGAGATGAACAACAAAACCTATCAACTTTGGTTATAGTCTACGTGGATCTATTAACATTTCAATTTTAAATATAATCGAACGATTTAGAAATGGTTTGATTTCCGTTTAGAAGCGAACTCGCTGGTGATGTAAAATTGTGGCATAGTCGCAATTGTCGATTGTTAGCGTCTTAATTTATTCATTGCTTGTTTGATAAAAACATTGCTAAAATTTTATCATAATTTTAACTATAAATTTTATGTGATTCGCATCTTTTATCAGTCTTTTAACTATACATTTTACCAGCTGTAAAACTTATGCAAGAATAAAAGAGGGAAAAACCTCAGAGAGAAAGAGAGAGAAGATGGAAAACGTATATCTCACTTACTTACTCAAAGGAGATTACAGTACATATATATATACACAAGCATTGGACAGCTCAGCCTAACTAATTCTAATAGAATTCAAGTAAAGAATAAAATAATTTTATTGATATTATATTCAAGACTCCCCCTCAAGATGGTTTGTGAATGTTCAAGACACCCATCTTGTCTAAGAGCATGCGAAATCTGACTCCCCCTAAAACCTTTGTTAGCAGGACTGCAAGCTGGTTTTGGGTTGACAAATACATGGTCTTAATGTCTCCTACTTGTATCATTTCTCTCACCAAAGACAATCCAATTCTATGTGTTTTGTCCTTTCGTGAAACACTGGGTTGCTGGCTATATGCATAGCCGCTTGATTGTCACAAAATAAAAGTGCAGCCTTAGGATGATTAACTCCCAAATCAAGTAGTAGTTTCTTGAGCCAGATGATTTCACAGACTGCTGCAGCCATAGCCCTGTACTCTGCCTCAGTTGATGATCATGAGATGGTTTGTTGCTTCTTTGAACGCCAAGATATTAAGGAGCTACCAAGGAAGATGCAAAATCCCGTAACCGACCTCCTAGTATCCACACATGATGCCCAATCTCCATCACAAAAGCTTTTGAGTTCAAGAGTAGAATCTACAACAAAGAACAAGCCTTGCCCTGGTGTTCCTTTCACATATCTCAGAACATGTTGTGATGCCTCTAAGTGTGGCCTCTTAGGACATTCTAGGTATTAGCTCAAAACCTGTACTGAAAAGGATAAATCTGGCCTTGTAATTGTCAAGTATAGCAGCCTTCCAATCAATCTTATGTACATTCCTGGATCATCAAGTGGCTCCCCCTCATCCTTAGTCAGTTTAGAACCCGGCAACATGGGAAATTTAGCAGGCTTTGATCCCAAAAAACCTGCATCCTCAAGAACCTCTAAAACATATTTTCGTTGACAAACATCAATACCCTTTGGAGACCTTGCCACTTCAAGTCCTAGAAAGTATTTTAGAGTTCCCAAATCCTTTAGTTTAAAATGACTATCAAGACTTCTTTTAAAATTTTCGATATATACCAAATCATTCTCCCATATGATGATATCATCAACATAAATGAGAAGGACAGTGTAAGAGCAGCTGGTGTGTTTACTGAAAATGGAGTAATCTGATTTGGATTGAGTGAATCCTTGGGAGATAATGAATGAGGATAATTCTGTGTTCCATTGCCTTGAAGCCTGTTTCAATCCATAGATAGATTTATTCAGTTTGCACACCAATAACTCGCCATTATCCCCCCGTTGCTGGTACCCTGGTAGTAGTTTCATATGCACATCTTCTTCAAAATCTCCATGAAGAAAGCATTATTTATATCTAGTTGATGCAAGTGCCAATTTCTACTAGCAGCAACAGCAAGAAAGGCTTTAATTGAAGCCAACTTAGCTATAGGGGAAATTGTCTCCTGATAATTGAGCCCAGCCTGCTGAGTAAAGCCCTTAGCAACTAACCGTGCTTTCTTCCTTTCCTCAGTGCCATCCTATTTCAGTTTGATCTTATAGACCCACCTACAGTCCACAGGCTTCTTATCAGTTGGAAAAGGGATGATGGTCCAGGTATTGTTGGCAACTAAAGCGTAGTATTCATCCTCCATAGCTTGACACCAGGCAGGTGACTGAGAGGCCTCCAGAAAGTTTCTAGGTTCAACATTTGTTGAAAGTGACATCACATAAGCCCTGTGGTCAGCTGAAAGAGAGTCATATCCCAATGTGTTGGAAAGATCATAAAGGTTTACAGGGTTGAAAGCAGGAACAACAAACTGTTGTTTGGAAACTAAGTTGTAGTGAAATTGTTGCAGATAACTAGGAGCCTTTCTAAGTCTAGTAGATATGCGGATTGGGCTAATATGAGGAAAGGAATGGGAAGGTATAGATGGAGATATATGTGGTAATGAAGAAGGAGATGAAACTGATGGAGAACTTGGATTGGAAGAAGTAGGAGGTGAGGATATTGAGGTAGAATGTGGAGCTTGTAAGGGAAAATGTGGATCTAATGTGGGAAGGCCTTGAGAAGGAAAGAGAGGAGTATGTAAAGATAGATTGAAAACATTGTCAAACAAATGAAAAGAATTAAGTAAAGCGGGATCATGGAATGGAAATATATTTTCATGGAAGACAACATCCCTAGATACAAATATAGTGTTTGTGTTCAAGTTATATAACTTGTATCCTTTGTGGTTGGGTGGATAACCAATGAAAAGACAAGGAACTGCCCTGGGATCAAACTTTAATCTGTGTCTTTGTAAGGTAGAGGCATAGCAAAGAGAGCCAAAGACTCTCAAGTGAGAGTAAACTGGTTTTACTGAAAATAATATCTCATATGGTGATTTGTTTGACAAGGTGGTGCTTGGTATACATTCACCCCAGAATTGATCTGGGAGTTTAGCTTGAAATTTCA